TTGATATCAATCCGACAATTACATATCTCATCCAACAGCTGTACGACAATCCTGCATGCCAAGTAATACACAACGGGAAACTTACGGAATCCTTCGAAGTGAGGACAGGAGTAAGACAAGGCTGCCTACTACCGCCAATGATTTCCCTGATTGCAGTAGATTGGATAATGCGACAAACATTGGGCAATGAGGAAACAGGCATAAAATGGACTCACACAAAAAACTCGGAGGATCTGGACTTCACCGATGATATATGTCTGATTTCCAACAAACTGGAAGATATGCAAGCGAAAAGCAACAAGTTGGCGATACAAGAAGCATCAAAGATATGACTTCAGGTGAACATAGAGAAAACAGAGGTGATGAAGATTCCTGACCAACACTACCAACAGCAACAACAACAAGACAACAATCAGCATAAATGGAAGGAACCTGAAAGAAACTACCTCCTTCACCTACCCTGCCTGGGAAGCATCGTTTCAACTACAGGCCGACGGAACTGACGAGGATATCAAAGCAAGGTAAGTAAGCTTTCATTTCTCTCAAGGCTGCGTGGAGGACAACAGCACTCAGCATCAAAAATAGGATCCGGATCTTCAACTCCAGTGTGAAGTCAGTGCTACTATACGGATCAGAGACTTGCACTGCGTGTCATAAAGAGCATCTCAAACAAACTACAAACCTTCATTAACAGTTGTCTTTGCTCAATACTCAAGATCAGATGGCCAGCCATAAAACATCAGCAACAGAGATCTCTGGGAGCGAACCAACTCAGCAGGAACCGATTGTGAAACAAATAGGCAGGAAGAAATGGAGATGGATTGGCCATACTCTGAGGAAACCATCAAGTGACATCACTAGACAAGCCATTGCTCGAGTGGAAACCGAAAGGGAAGCGGCGAGTTGGTCGTCAATGCAAGGGTGACTTGTAGGAGGTCATGTGAAGAGGAGATGAAAGCGTGTGGGCAGACATGGAGCCAGGTGAAGACTCTAGCAGAGAACCGAACGCAATGGAGACGCACGACTGAAGCCCTATGTTCCTCTAGGAATTAAAGGAAACAATAATGATTATTATATGTCTTGTTCTAATGTTAATAATGGGCATATTTAAAGACATAAATATATGTATAACAACTTACATTTTTCCCCAATGGTCGTACAGTTACCGGTGATATAATAATCAATAACCAATTCAAAACACGCGGGACTAAATATTGCAGTTTTAAATGTGCTTCTAAGTGTTGTATAATTTTATCAATTAGGCGACTAGCAGAATGATGTGATGTTTTACGTTCACGGGAACGTGGAGATTGACAAGATGATGTTGTTGATGATGGTGATGATGACGAGGCAGAAGTTATTGGTGTTGTTGGTGGTGCTGGAGACGTAGAAGCAGCAGCAACATTGGCATCTGTGTTCAATACAGAATTCGCTAGTGAAGGATAATCAATAGAGACAATTTGTGCTAGACTTTTAGAATCCAATGAGGAAAGATATTGACGTACACCATCCAATGGTAATAACAACAATTCAGGATGTGGTGTCTTCAGATAATGTTCTAATATACAAAACTGTAAATAAAAAAGTGGAGATTAATTTGAAATCGTTGGTTTATAGGGATTCGATCATGAACTGACATCAGGTAGAGAATCAATGGAAAGCAAGAAGCACAGGACAACTGTTTTGTACTAGTTAGGGACTCTTCATCAGTACAAGAATTGGCAGAAATTTAAAACTCAAAGACCATCGGACTAGGCCTCAGTAGCTGAATCGTCTATAAGCTCGCCTTATAACTGGAAGGTTTTGGGTTCGAACGCCAGCGGGTATGTACTGCTGAAGCGTCCCAAACTAGGATGAAACAGCTGTCCAGTTGTCTTCTCTAGTTCTCAATGACTTCCTAACTGATGTCAGAACGAGATAAAAACTGTAACCACTAGAGATTACACAGGTTTCGGTAAATAAGCAAGTAAACGCAGGCACGCACATCTCCATACATCAGAATCTACAATATTTATTACAGTAAGTGGAATCGCACTCAAAATATTTGGGTTGTTTTCAGATTTTGGTACATAAATCCAATTCTCACTAGTTAAGTTCTCATCATAAGTAACTAGTACTGTGACAAATAGTTCATTTTCCGATTCAAATGTGAATTTTATTCCCTCCACCAGTGAGTTTATGTGTGTCAAGAAGCTAAAGCTATGTTCTGTTTTTAACACTGTGCGTGAAAGTATCATCCACATATCTCCACCATATTTTTGGAGTAGGATTAAATGTATTAAGAGAAATATTTATCAAAATAAAATTTTATCCATAATGGAGTTACCTAGACATATCTATAATTCCCAAAGTTTACTTCATCATAAGTAACTAGTACTGTGACAAATTTTCCAAAGTTATGATGAGCATACATGACTACTGGAGTCCCATGAATTTGCTTCAGGGAACAAATAATGATGATATTTAGCGATGAGCAAGTCACCATAACACTAATTCTTACAAGTTAGAATTCAAAGCGCAGCCGATCAAAAATACACGCCATCCTTAGAAATTTGGCAATCTTACATAAAACCCCTGATACCATTATAGATGTGTAACTGTTGGAGAGTTCCTAACTAGGATGAAACAACCACTTTCGACTTTTCTTTTATCTGCAGTCTTTCTGTTACTGATGTAGATCTGAGATGAAACCTACCTAGACATATTGAAGTAAGTATAAAACTTGGGCACTGTGGTAGAGTATAACTCCATTATGGATAAGACTTTATTTTGATAAATCACACAGTGTTGTACAGTAATATTAACTGATGACCATGTTTCGAGCACAAATTATTGCTCATAATCATATCAAGTCACTAATCACACAACTTTCTTGCTTCATTTATATACATGAGTGGAATTGATGATTAGACATTTGAATAAAAATCAGTATAGGATAATGTACATTCAGAAATAATAATATGAGTGTTATTCACCAAATACAGTCAGATGGGAAATAAGGTGAGTGTTTTTATAGTCAAAATAAGTAACTTGTTAGAATGTTATGATGTACGTGAATTGAAATGGAATTTTAAGATTATTTATTATCCTCCTCTGATTTCACTGGCTGGTGGTAATAATATCTCCCATGCATGTCTCTGGTATTTGCATTGAGTCATTTCTGTTGCATGTGTTGTGTTGGGCGTAGACTCAATTTACCACGATTCAGTAATCAACCTCTCTCGCTCTCCACCTATATACATTACTTCTTAGAATTTAAACCCTCTCCCACTATGCTATTGTGTGATTGCGTGTTAATGCATGCAGTGCAATCGCTACCCTTTTTTCTATATTAATTATTTTCTCGGGGTTAACCATTCTTACCTTAGCTAAATTCTTATGTTTCGACAATCTGACTACCCCCGACCTACTAGTTTGACCTATGTAGTTCACTTCACTCACAGTCATTGCAAGGTATTTTGTAAACTATATTATTTTGTCTAATTGGGTCCACCGGGTCTTTTAGCCTACAGAGCTTGTCCCTGAGTGAGTTTGTCGGTTTAAATGCCAGCCTAATTCTTGCTTTATTAAGAACCCTACGTAGGGTCTCAGATGTCGCCTCCTTATATGGTATTACAGTGGATGATTTATATTCTCTCTTATTTATGTTATCATTATTAGTTCCGCCATTATTTTTATTTCGCTTCTGACCTTTTATGATCATCCCAATGAACTTCTTAGGATAGTTAGTAGTTTAACACCAACGCCTCTTCTACCTGTTTCATTTCATCATTTAGGTCTTTTCTTGTGCTACCTAGTGCTGCTACTCGGTTTGTTAAACACTTAACTAAGCCTGCCTTAAAAGTTAACTGATGAGATGAATTAAAGTTTAAATATCTACTAACAGAATGCGTTGATTTTTTATAAACGCTAATGTGCAGTTTACCCTCTTCTATTCGTTTTAACACTGTGAAAGTGTCATACACATATCTCCATCATATTTTTGGAGTAGGATTAAATGTATTTAGAGCAATATTTAATCTGGAAATCTTCGTCACTCAACTCAGCATCAACAACAAAATTCGGATTTTCAATACAAACGTCAAGTCAGTTCTTCTATACAGATCAGAAACTTGGCGGGTCACAAAGAATATTTCCAACAGCCTGTTGCAGACCTTTATCAACAGCTGTCTTCGTTCTATACTCACGATCAGATAGCCAGAAAGAACAAGAACCAACAAGAAACTATGGGAACAAACAAAACAAGAACCAATCGCCCAACAAATATGCAGGAGAAAGTGGAGATGGATTGGACACTCGCTGAGGAAGCCGTTGGGTGGCATCGCGCGTCAGGCCAATGCTCGAGTGGAACCCGAAAGGGAAGCGGCGAGTGGGACGTCCAAGGGTGACATGGAGGAGATCGTGTGAAGAGGAGTTGAAACATGGATGCAGGTGAGAAGTACAGCAGAAGACAGAAGCACGTGCAGACGTGCAGTTGAAGCCCTATGTTCCACTAGGAACCCAAGGGAACAATAATAATATAATAGAGCAATATTTATCAAAATGAACTCTTATCCATAATGGAGTTACCTAGACAAATCTATGATTCCCAAAGTTTACTTCAAAGCTTTTAAAGAACAAATAAGAGAAATATACACGCTACATTGTACTTGAATGAATGTATATACACAGAACTATATTTATCCTTACAGAGACCAAATTTAGACTTTTAAGTACTGAATATTTGGCCGACGAAAACACCATAAAAGATTTGTACTTGGCGGATGATTTATGTCTAATATCGTGCAACCTGGAAGATCTACAGGTTAAAACCAACAAGTTGGCAGAAAAGGCAGTTAAGACAGAACCTCAGATGCTGCTGCTGCTGCTGCTGGTTGCTGCTGGATTCAACATAGAACTTGGCACCGAAGTGCAGCAGTTCGAGTTGCCACGTTCCAAATAGCACACAAAGGTAGACAGGAAAATGAGAGAAGAAAATCAATAGAATTTATATAAGTATAAGAGTGAAACAGAATGAGTAATGGTAGAAAGGAATATGAAGGTTAAAGAGACTGAATACATCTGCGCCATTGACAACGATTTTGAGCTATGTCACATAGTGTCTCCAGCCATTGATTCTTAGAGTCCCGAGGGCCCGAACCCGGAAGTCTGCATCTCCCTACCTGACTCAGTTTAACTGTCAGGGATTTCATGGATTGATGAGGCCATGTTTTTGTTTGGCCACCACTTACTCTTTTCCAACCTGCACCTATATCAGCTAGTAATGCCCGTCCGTCGGGGGAGGCGATGGTTAGGCATGCGCAACACGTCACCTAGCCATCTCAATCTATGTAACTTTATAGCCTCGTCGAGTGATTTTCCCTCTTTGCCCAACACTCTACGCCTAACGTCAACATTACTTACCTTATTATACCACTTAACGCAAGAAAGAGATCGTAAACATCTGTGGTCAAAAACAGACAACCTTTTCATGTCTTCCGCTCTCAATGGCCACGTCTCACCGCCATAGAGAAGGACGGAGCGAACTGATGAGCAATATACACGTCCCTTGGTTGACACCCGGATGTCACGCCTACGCCAGAGACGGTGTAAGTTAGCGAAAGCAGCCCGAGCTTTCTGGATCCGTGCTGTGATTTCGTCACCAATCAATCCGTTGGTGCTGATACAACTTCCCAAATAGATGAAGTGGTCAACATGTTCTATCACTTCACTCCCTATCACTAAGCTAGGAGTTGACGTAGTCCAGTCAGTCCTGTAGCAGCATATTACATTTCACAGGGGCGAATCGCATGCCAAACATACGAAGATTGCTGCTCAAGGTGTTCAGAAGACTCTGCATTTTGTCAGCGTCCTCCCCTAACAGGACTATGTCGTCTGCATATTCTAAGTCTATAAGACTATTCCCTGGTAACAAGTCGATTCCTAAGTCGTTAAGTTCAGTTAAGGATACTTCCATTAGCATATCTATGATGAAGTTAAAGAGAAAAGGGGAAAGTGGACATCCTTGACGGACACCATTGGTTGTTATGAATTCAGATGACAATTCCCCATAAGCCCTTACACAGCTACGTGAGTTTGAGTAGAGTGCCTTGATTAGTGCAATGTACTTTCTTGGCACTCCCTTCATAGTCAAACATTGCCATAGAACCTCTCGATCCACGGAGTCAAAGGCCGCCTTCAAGTCAAGAAATATGGCAATTGTTGGACGCCTAAAAGTGTGTCTATGTTCTAGTATCTGTCGGAGAGTGAAGATATGATCTATGCACCCTCTACCTGGCCTAAAGCCCGCTTGATTTTCCCTCGTTTGTTCCTCCCGAGTTCGGCTTAGTCTGTTCATGATTACTGAGCCTAGGATTTTAGAGACTATGTTCGTTAGGCTGATTCCTCTATGATTATCACATGAGGACTTCTCTCCCTTCTTGAATATTGGTATAATAAGTGACTTACCCCAGTCTGATAGAACCGTCTCTGATTCCCAGACGTTACCTAGAACCTCAGATGAACGTAGAGAAGGGCATAGATGGTGGAGATACACACCGATCAACAACAACAGGCATCAATCATCATCAACGGGAGAAATTTAAAGGAAATTACAACTTTCATTTACCAAAGCACCAATGTTGACAGGCAGGATCAGGATGGTAAAACAGAAGTTCAAGTATTGGTTTGTAGGGATTTGGTTGATTGGTTACAGGATTTCATCATGAGCTGACATTGGCAGAAGTTGGAATTCATGGGCTGAGTGGCCATTGGATCGGGTCCCAGTGGCTTAATGGTCTACGAGCTAGCTCGCCTTGTAACCAGAAGGTCCTGGGTTCGAACTCCCTGTGGTGGGCGCGTACTGATGAAGAGTTCCAAACTAGGACGAAACGGCTGGCTGTCCAGTACTCCCTGCAGGTTTTCTAATTGTTCTGTAACCAATGTCAGCTCATGATGAAATCCTGTAATTATTCTGGAAATACACTGCTGCTATCAGAATCAGGACCAAGCCCTAGATTTTTAACAGTCAGTGCTTCTGTAAGATTCAGAGAATGGGTGCGTTATACTAATAGCATTTCTAAAAGGCTGTTGAAGACTTTCGTCAACACAACTGCCTTCAATGCCAATGCATGTCGAAGATCGGATAAACAACCAGAAAGAATAAGCATGCGACAGGGAATAGAAAAAGAGATGGATTGACCACATGCTGAGAAGACCGTTGAGTGACACCACAGGCCAAACTCTCGGATGTAAATCAAGTGAGAAATGACGAGTTTGACGTGAGTGTGTAGGTGACATGGAGGAGGTCACGTGAGAAGGAGGAGAAAATGACAGCTTATGGACAATGCCAGACCATAGAGAACTAAGTGTTGGCTGAAGCCCTATGTTCCACTCGGAACCAAATGGAATAATAATAATAATATAATAAGAGGGAACCAATAGCATAAAATATTTAAACAATGATAACAATTAATACAGCGCTTACCTTTAAACGTTGTAGAAAATTCTTTACAGAATAATCTAAGCAAAGAAATATTCCATCAACCAAGTAACTAAGGATAGAATATGTAGGATGTACACCAGGGAAGTGTATAATCTGGACGACAAAAAAAAGCGCGATAGAGAAAAAGGAAAAAGAGACAATTAAAAAAAATTGTATGCAAAAAAGAAGGCTGCAGCTGTAATTAAAAAACATTTAGGAAAATCTTTGGTCATGCTCTGGCATCAGTTGAAAAACCATAAAAAGTATCGGACAGCTGTTTTGGTCCTAGCTAGGGACTACAACACTTCAGCAGTAAGCACCCATCGGGGTTCGAACTTAGGACTCTCTGGTCAGAAGGCGAGTTCATAGACCATTCAGCCATTGGAACCCGATTCAATGACCCATGAATTCCAACTGCAGCCAATTCGTGAAACATTGTTATGTTATTATTATTGTAACCTTTAATTCCTACAGGAACATAGGGCTTCAGTCGTGCGTCTCCATTGCGTTCGGTTCTCTGCTAGAGTCTTCACCTGGCTCCATGTCTGCCCACACGCTTTCATCTCCTCTTCACATGACCTCCTCCAAGTCACCCTTGCATTGACGACCAACTCGCCGCTTCCCTTTCGGTTTCCACTCGAGCAATGGCTTGTCTAGTGATGTCACTTGATGGTTTCCTCAGAGTATGGCCAATCCATCTCCATTTCTTCCTGCCTATTTGTTTCACAATCGGTTCCTGCTGAGTTGGTTCGCTCCCAGAGATCTGTGTTGCTGATATTTTCTGGTCGGCCATCTGATCTTGAGTATTGAGCGAAGACAACTGTTAATGAAGGTTTGTACTTTGTTTGAGATGCTCTTTATGACGCGCTGGCCAAGTCTCTGATCCGTATAGTGACTAGGACTGACTTCACATTGGAGTTGAAAATCCGGATCTTATCTTCATTTTCATGCTGAGTGTTGTTGACCTCCACAGAGACTTGAGAGTAGTGAAAGCTTGTCTTGCTTTGATATCCTCGTCAGTTCCGCCTGTAGTTGAAACGATGCTTCCCGTGTAGGTAAAGGAGGTTGTTTCTTTCAGGTCCCTTACATTTATGCTGATTGTTGTCTGTTGTTGTTATTGCTGTTGGTGGTGTTGCCCAGGAATCTTCATCACCTCTGTTTTCTCTATGTTCACCTGAAGTCCTATCTTTGATGCTTCTTCTGCTAACTTGTTGCTTTTCGCTTGCATATCTTCCAGTTTGTGGGAAATCAGACATATATCATCGGCGAAGTCAAGATCCTCCAAGTTAATCCCATGCTTACTAGTGATTGGCTCTATACAGGAAGTATATATATATTTCACGAATGAAATATATATATATACTTCCTGTATAGAGCCAATCACTAGTAAACATGAGATTAATTTTCAAGTATGTTGGTTCTCTAACTGACAGCAACACTTGTGAACAAACTTGTAACCAATCAAATCGGCACAAACCAACACTTGAAAAAATATTTAGGAAAATATTCAAAAGATAAAGTGGAACCAAGCTCCGTGAGAACAACAATCGATCATCCTGAAGCCATCCACAATCAGTAAGGCTTTCATCACTTTACCAATAGAGTTATGAGAGAAATGCATTCATCGGGATTTAATTTCACTTTGAATATATCAATGGATTAGTTCGACAGTAATATCAACGAGTTCTTGAGCAAATGTTCACCAACCATGATCCAACTAGCTGTCAAATAATGACTCTTGATACCAATTTATACATTAACCATAGAATTCTTAATGCGACTGAGATGGACAGGCATCTTTAATGTACATGTAACTTTAGAAGACGAGAGATTTGGTAAAGACATGTTTGGATAGTTGGAGGCAATCGGCCACAGGAAGCCTTGCTTGACCTAGGTTTAGTGCTAGTTGGCACTCACCAGTCAGCAAGGCATATCTGCAACCTTGAAGGAACTCCCTTCTGAGATTCGAACTCGCGTCGCCCTGCGAGAGCTGCAGTCAGAGACCTTATCACTGAGCAGCTATTCGGCCTCACCATTGACCTCCTGTAGGACGACTGTAGTGGGCATTTTGATTGGACACTAGTAACTAGTGCGACGTGTCTAGTCCTTTCTTTGGTGCAGACTGATTTCTATCAGTCAGGTTTGCAATGTGGCCTTGCTGACTGGTAAGTGCCAACTAGCACGAAACCTAGGTTCAAGGTTTCTTGCCGATTGCCACCAACTATCCAATATCATCAAATCAATGTGCACCATGATGGCGAGCTACCTAAAACGGTGGACACATTACAACCTGACTGATAGAATTCAGTCTGCACCAAAGAAAGGACTAGACACGTCGCACTAGTTAATAGTGTCCAATCAAAAGGCATGTTTATTAGGGAATTTGGTATCTCTATATAGCCAAATTTTGTAAACCCTTATCTTCAAATTACCATTTGTACAGATTTTCCGTGTTGTGGTACTTCTCGCCTTCCTTCATATTGTCTTTCTTTGTGTTCCTTTCACGTCTCTCATGTAACTCCGCAACACAGTATCATTTTCTTTCTCTGACATCAAATCTATCTCCCTGCTGATGGATGTGTTTTAGGCCGATGAACACCTCTTTATATACTACTGAAAAATCTTATCAGTAGCACATGCCACACACATGCTTGTTTAATAGTGTAGTGAACAGTCAATGCCACTGTCGAAAACCTAACTACCTATTTTATTAGTTGTGTACAGGATCGATAGTTGTTACCTTGATGTCACTATCATCCAAAGAGCTACACTGCAATGGTCGTTTGGATAGCTTTTGGTCTAAAAGCAATTACCATGGTAGCGTAAATCGTTTACAGTATGTTGGGTTACGGGTCTGTGGGCGGAGCTGTACTGCAGGGGAATAGGGGTGTAACAGCAGTAAGGTGTTTTCCTTGGACTACCTGCAAGCCAGTTAAGTCACCTCACTGAACTACGGAAAGGGAGTGGAGTTAAAACAGGTCCTGACTTATCTTGTAGCGGTCTGTAGTTGGCCATATGTCGCAGACTACTACTCAAGATCAGATGGCCGGTCAGAAAAGATCAGCAACAGGGAGAGATCTCTGGGAGCGAATCAACCCAGCAGGAGCCAACTGTGCAACAAATATGCAGAAAGAAATGGAGATGGACTGGCCATACTCTGAGTATACTATCAATTGTCATCACACGTCAGGCCATCGCTCGAGTGGAACTCGGATGTGAAGCGGCGAGTCGGTCGTCAGTGCGAGGGTGGCATGGAGGAGGTCATGCAAAGAGGAGATGAAAGCACGTGGGCAGACGTGGAGCCAGATGAAAACAATAGGAGAGAACCGAACGCAATGGAGACGTGCGTCTGAAGCCGTATGTTCTTTTAGAAATTAAAGGAAATGATAATAATATAATAATAATAATAAAAATTAGTTTGTAAATTGTGAAATATTATTTAAAAAGCACTCACCTCTTTCATAACAACTTCAAGAAATGCAGACGGTGGTGGAACAGCAAATCGTCGAATTGTCAATCGACTTAATGTAGACGCATTAATTCTTGATTCAAATACCATTTCAGGTGTTGTAGACAAACCGAAAACAAAATTTATCGGCAAAGCATATTCACGACCTTTTATTCGTCCAGTGAAATAAAAGGAAGTCAATTCAATGAAATCACACAACACTTGAATAGGAATGGATTCAATCTCTGTAAAGATAATAACTAATGGTTTAAGAGATGATGGTCTTAGCCTTTGGATAGAAATATTTTTTTCCATATCTGGAGTACTTGGTACACTGTCTTGTTGTTTGATATCGTCGAGATCATGTGAAGTAGACCGGTGACTACTGAATCGTGAACTTCTTCTGCCTCTTCCTCCTCCTCTTGGTGTAACAGGTCTAGGTGAATCAGGATACGGCTGTTGTAATTTGGTGGAGAGTAGTCTAGGTTGACTGACACTGCGCGGTGTACGACCACTACCACGAGGTGTTGTAGGTGGTGCTAAGAAAGAAAAGAAAAGAAGATAAATAGAGGCAGGCATATTACTGTCAAACACTTCACAGGTATGAGTAATGTGGTGGTTGCTACTGGCAAGATTTATCAGTAGTATATAAAGAGATATTCATCGGCATAAAACGACGTCAAATAGCAGGGAGATTGATTTCATATCACAGAAAATAAATGATGTAGCGTTGCGGATATACATGGGAGATGTGAAAAGAACACAAAGAAACTCAGCATGAAGTCCACAAGTACCACAACAGGGAAGACCTGTACAAATGGTGATTTGAAGATAAGGGTTTACAAAATTTGGCTATATAGAGATAAAAATTCCCTAATAAACATGCATTTAATAAATCTGTCGTCTTCTACCGTTACAGTGTAATAAACTAGAGGACCCAGATTTACTGCAAAGGAAAGCAAACACAGGTGCAGCCAATTTATCATCGAGCTATACAATATGTGTGTAAATATATATGCATGGAAATCTACTTCACTCAACATGAAGAAAAATATTCGGATCCTCAACACTCATGTCAATTTAGTCAGTTCTTCTATTCTTCTAGCCAGGCTGGGTAAAAGGAGACCAAAATCGTGTATACAGTTCAGTGACAGAACATCTGGTCAACTCAGGACATCCAGCGCCTTTCGAAAAATCCTTCAAAGTAATATACAAGATTCAATCAAACCTATAAAAGGGAGTCAAATCAAGACATCTGGGCATAACTGAGGCGCTAGCTATCCAAAAGCTCAAACTCAAGCTTTGTATCCAAAAGAAATACGTTTAACCCCTGTCCCTGCCATAGCCATCATAAACAGGTAAATTTTTTAGTAATGACCATCCCATTGCCTTTCATATCCACTCTTCCTGTTTATTTTGTCATTTTACTATTTCTACATATTTTATCCCTGATTGCATAAACAACTATTCATCATATTAGTTTTTTATCCAAACATCCTGTCTATTTTGTTATTTCTACATTTCTAACCCCCAATTGCACAATGTCAATCTTCGTAGTTATTATAATGCTACTTTGTTTGAGTTTTATCCGTCCCCCTGTTTATTATGGCATTCTAATTCCTAATTGTAATTTTTATTAATTTGACCCCTAACCGGAAATTATTCTGGAACTTTCCCATCCATTTGATATAAATACACGAATGTACAGCCTAGATGATGACTTCGTCGAAACGAAAATTTTCTTTGCTGCAATTGTCTTCTTAATAACTCCTATGACCCAGTGCTAATTAGCAATAAAAATAACGAAAACAAGATAGAATTCAAAGCCTCTGTAGTACTGCCGTATAAAGAAGGAACGTCAGAGGCCTTATGTAGGATTCCCAATGAGGCTGGAATTTAAACCAACCAACTCTCTCAGACATAAACTTTGTCGGCTTAAGGACCCGCTTGATAGATCCGATTAAGAAAAGTAATATTATCTACCAAATATCATGTAATGACTCTGAGTGAGGTCACTCACATGGATCGAACTAGTAGATCGGAGTCAACTAGATTATTGGAACATAAAAAGTTAGCTAGACCTAGAATAATTGACCCTGATAAGTTAAATAACCTAGAAAAAAGCTGAGCCATGACACTGCATTCACTTGCATGTAATCACGCAGCGATAAGGTGGGACAGGGTGAGAGTATTAAAAAGTAATACAGTTAGGTGGACAGACAAAGAGGTTAATCACAGAATCTTTGTTTATCGATTCAACACAGTACACGTGCAATCGGAATGACGCAACGCCTATACCGGAGATATGGAAGGTGGCAACAAACAACAAGCGGAAAATGGAGAGAAAGAGAGAGAGAGAGAGGAGACATATATAAGACAAATTGTGAACATTAAATTTGTCAAACGAAAATACAATTAGGAAGTTCAGATGGATTGGATGTTGATGTAAGAGGGTAGTAACAGAAGTGATGAGTTGTCACAAACGATTGTTAAAGAAGAGTTACGTAATAACAACGTGAATAGTTTGATGTAAGAGTTGTGCTCAGGGTGTACATGAAAACAAAATAACATATGGAATTACGTAAGGGTTTTAAGTAGTTAGAAAAATAAGCATACAAACAAGAGTTAAGTCAAATCAACGGAGTTGTTACCATGAGAGTAGAAGTGGTTGAATAATTTTCTTTTGTATGCATAGTTCTGGTTCTTCCAACTGAATAGCTAGGGCTTCTGCAATGCAAAGAAGACGGAAACGTATTGTCTTTGGCAGGTTGTTCTTCACTTTGTAGATTACTTTGAAGGAGGCGTTTGTTGAGATGGAATGACCAGTGTTGACGAGATGTTCGATTATTGCACTCCTTATACGGCCACTACTTCCTTTCTGCAGCCACGCTGGATAGTGTTCTTTGACCTTTTTTGACAGGATGCGCGTTGAACGACCGATGTACCTGGCTCCACAACAACTCATCAATTTTGTTACTACCCTCTTACATCAACATTCAATCCATCAGAACTTACAAATTGTGAAACCATGTGACTAAAATTGATATGATTATAAGCAATTATTTATGCTCGAAATCTTGTTATCCAGTTGTTAATACTGCATCATCACTGTATGATATTTAAAAATAAACTTATCTAATATGAAACCATTAAACATTTGCAACTAACCTGGTGTTTTGAATTTAGGCGATCCAGACAAATTAGTATCAGTACACTGTTGAATCTACAAAACAATGTTTAAAAACGTTGAGTGCATTCCATTAGAACAGAGAAATGCCGCTTTTCTACTATGTTAAGAGATAAAACACCACCAAAGAAAATTTCCTATAAAGAGTTTATGATTCAAATATCAAGCCACTTCATGAGATCTGAGAAACACAGTAGATATAGGGACTTCAGAACACAAGGAAATAGGCATTTCTAAGTACTCACACACACACACATGAAGTCTGCTTCGTATGGTTGACATAGGATTAAGTTTGACAAGAGTTAGGAGTGATCGAACCAGAATCTGGCATCAATCCATGAAGTATTCGATTATTAGGAGGGAAGGTGTAGACTGCCTCGCTGGACTTGACGTTTTTAGTGATATGGCTTGAAATGGTTGCAACCACCTTCCTGGCTGACTGACTGGTTTCAACATAGAACTTTGCACATATGTGCACCAGTTCGAGTTGCCACTTTCCCTCCAAATACCATACAAAGCAAGAGAAGAAAGTAGAAGAAATGCATAATAGAGACAGTAGAAAGGGATATGAGACAAAGGAATAGTAATAACGAAGAACAATATAGTTTCATTGGAAATTATAAGTCACAAAGAGTCGATGCATCTGCGTTAGCCATTGAGAACGATTTTGAGCCATATCACCGATTGTCTCCAGCCTTTATTGCTTTGAACCATCCCAAGGACCCCAACCAGTCAAGAAGCCTACACCTTCCTACGTGGCTTAAACTAACTGTTGTGGATTTCATTGACCAATGTTTTGGTTTGACCACCACTGGCTCTTTTCCAACTTGATCCTACGTCAGCTAACATTGCCCACCGAGGAAGGCGATGGCTAGGCTAGGCATGCGTAACACATGTCCTAACCATCTCTCTCAAACAATGTAACTTCACAACCTGGTAGATTGATTTCCCGTCCTTACCTAGTACTCGACCGAAACCTAACCTCAACACTGTTCGCTTTATTAATCCACTTCACACGAGAGATAGAACGCAGACACCTATGATCAAAGACAGCCAGCCAACCTATTCATGTCTTCCACTTTCAGTGGCCATATCTCACTCGCAGCCATAAAGGAGGACAAAGTGAACTGCTGTTGAGCAGTACACAAGCACTTTGGTCGACAGCCAGCGGGATATCACGTCTACTAAGTCAGAGTTAGCGAAATTTGGCTAGTGAATGCCAAATGTGCCTTTTGTATCCATGCTGAGATTTCGTTAATGATCAGCCCGCTGGGATTGGTTGATGCAACTCCAAAAATAAGTGAAGTGGTCAACACGCTCCACCAACCACTTCACTCCCTCGCTTTCTTTACGCTAGGAGTGAATCAACGTAGTCCAGTCCTGTAGCTTCATCATCTTACATTTGACTGGAGGCAATCGCATGCCGAATATCCAAAGACTGCTGCTCCTCAAGGTGTTCAGAAGATTCTGCATTATGTTAGCGTCTACACCTCACCTAGGCAGGACTATATCACCTGCATATTCTAAGTCAACGAGATTATTCCTCCCCTGGTAACAAGTCAATCCATGAGTCGCTGAAGTCAGTTAGGGTTAAGTCCATTGATACAATATCTATGATGAAATTAAATAGAAATGGGGACAGTGGGCTAGCATCCCTAACGGACACCACTGGTTGTCACCAAAGTTGTCAGATGACAACTCACCGTAGGCTCTCACCTGGCTGACTACATGAATACGAGTAGAGTGCCTTAATCAGTGAGATTAATTTCCTCGCCATTCCCTTCAAAGCCAAACATCTCCATAGCACATCTCGGTCGACGGAAACGAATGCCGCCTTTAGATCAAGAAATATACCGATTGTTGAATGCTGACGGTAAGTATGCCTATGTTCCAGAGTCTGTCGAGAAGTGAAAATATGATCAATACACCCTCTTCCTGGTCTAAGGCCTGCTTGGTTCTCTCGTGTTTGTTCCTCCTGAGCACCACTTAGTCTACGCATTATGCTTTCAGACTAAGAAGTGCTACGAATGGATACGTACTTAAAATTAACTATCAAACAGGTGTTATAAAGGAAAAATAAGGGAAAAAAATTAAACTTACTCTTGAGTAATACCATTCTATTAAAGCCAAATACGAGGAACGCGTAGACGGAGTAAAATTTTTCTGTTGACAAAACAAAACAAAACTGTTTAGAAAGAAGTACAGAAGTATTAGTTTTACAATGTTAGTTATTTACTTAGTTGGAACTCACCCACCTGGAGACAGCCTATGATCCACACTGGCTGCGTGACGACGGATAATACGACCCAGCTGCCCACCCCCCAAAAAAGCTGAAGTCAGTGCTGGAAGATTCGAACCTGGGACCCATTAGTTGGAAGTCGAGGGCTTAGGCCAATGAGGCCACACATCTCCGCACGTTACAATGTGCTTACCACATAGGTGATGTCAGTTAGAATTCAACTTATATCAATTGTAACGCTGACTATTGATCTTGTATAAACTAAATGACGCAACAGTTTCGTCACTTACTGCTGCTGATGAAAACGCCACAAGAATGCAAAGAAGTGAGATAAGGGAAATAAGATGAGCATTCTTAGACATGATAAGGATTTGTAGCTGAGATGGAAGATTTTGGTGTATTTGTGTTCTCAGAACTGGATGGTTCAGTTATGAAGGTTTCATGGTCTACCTAGACAACATCTTCAGGGCATAATTCAAAGCTCACTCCAAGTGAAAGTATGCACTGAAGACGTTGTCTAAGTAGACCATGAAAGCTTCACAAATAAACTATCCAGCTCTGAGAATACAGATATCCCAGTAACTGTCCTTAATTAACAAGTTATGATGGTCTGATCACAGCTCAATTCTGTGCTTTAAGCTTTTGAGAAAACCGATTCTCATCTTCGCTATGGTGAACTTGACAGAAGGAGAATCCGGAAGACATCCTGGATATTTCTCAACAGTTGGCAATCTGCAATCCAACTCACATTACACAAGGACTTCAACTGAAAAATATTTTTCTGGGCGTTCAAATTACAAGACGTGAACATGATGGAACACTAAAAAGATCCATCTACAGAAAGCCGACATGGAACGGACAAAGTACAAACGTCCATAGTTGGATGCCTCTAAATGCAAAACAAAACCTAGTCCGTCCATTGAGCCATAGAATCCGCAGCATTTGCAGCCCTGACACTATCGAAGAGGAGGTGAACACACTGGAAATAATTCTCCGCGAAAAAGCCTACCCCAAACTCTTCATCATAAATTTAATGAAGCTTATACCACTAAAACCGCCCATACTTTCTGACGCTAAAAGACGTCTCTATGTGAACCTATAATTCAGTGGGGACTCATCAGTAAGAATATTGAGAAATCCCCTTTCCTACTAATTGAAGAAAACCTTCGAGGTTGAATTTCGATTAACTTTCTCCACAAACCCAATAATTCGCATGAATGTGAAGGACAAGTTACCACTACTGTTTGCCGCATTAATGTATACCTATCAATTCACCTGCTGCTGTGGAGTTAGGTGTCAGCTATACTCAGCGTTCGCGATCCAAAAGTATCATCGAACACTTACCCTGATGATTTTTTAAAGGAGAAAGGTCCCCCTCCCACAACTCTGTCCTTTAACATCTGATCGAATCTGGACACCAATCTAACACCCCTCCTCCTCAAACCAAATTCAAAGTCATCTACAGAATTCATTAAACTAGCTAAAGCTTCTTCAAACGGCAGAAGCCATAGCAATTCACATATTAAATCCTAAAGTCTGTATACAGAAGAAGTTTGTTGTCCAATCACCAAACGTGCAATAGATATGATCTGTCGTGATTTTTTGTTTGTGAATTGTATCATTTCCTTCCACCACACCCTACTAAATTTCTACAGCTTATTATCGCTGTTGCTAACTTGACTCAATTTTGGTTGAATTCTATTCAATTCTTTGAACTATATTGTCACCCAACTGCAGTTTCCACCCTATTAACACTATGTAAATGTTGTCTGAAAATTGATAGTTAGTGACAAATCTTCGGAAACATTCCTTTTGTTGGTAATAAATTTCTCTACATGTATAAATATATATATGCGACTGTACAGCTTGAGAATTATATCGCCAAAAAGGGTAAGTTCTCGCTAACGTCTTTTATTTTATTTGACTGAACGGGGATTTTCATAGTGCTTAAATTCATTTTGTTGGTCATTCACCTTGATCACTACACTTAAATCTTTACGGATGACTAATACCTGCTTGTCAAGAAATAACGAACATAAACATGTATATGATTAGATAGTCGTTTTAGGAGGGAATAGTGGAATATGTTAAATCATGACTATTTTTCACTCCAAAATAGTGTGGAATATCTGTAATTTCAGGATGAAAAGCCTGACTAATGTGAAGTCATGCCATCTTAATGGAACTGAAAACAATATGATGACTAATAAATCAACAAAATATGCTATCAATTATTATTATGTATTATTATTACTATTCTACTTTTATGACTACACCGAATGACCAATGGGTGTTAGGTCAAACTCCATTCACGGCAGCAACTGAGTCCTAACATACTGCACACTACAAACCACATCTTGACCAATCCTCGCACCACTCCTCTTGGAGTCTACCAGAGCTAAAGCAGTCGAGTGGCGGGATTTACTACGCATAAGTTCACCGAAGATCTGGAACCTCTACCTTACAATCAAGAAGCGAGCTCAAAGAAATCACTGATTTATACTAGCTCGTAATCAGGATATTGGATATTGGAATTACAAGATGTTTAACGCTTTAATGTGAAAACTAGTAAAACTGACATAAGTGAAAAATAACTCACCAACGAAGAGGTTATGGATATTCCTGGAAGCTCCTCATGATCATCATCGCTATCCTTCACACACCAAGTACCTTGAAAGGAGTCATTTGATAACTGTTGCACTACTAAGGAGACTAGACTGCGTACGCTAGTCACATTCGCGCCAGGACTAATGATAGCGACATGCCCATGATTTTCCAACACTAGGTTTTTAAGATGACCATAAATAACTGAATGATCTGGGGTGTTAACGCCAGCTAATAAAACAGCTGTAGGGATTTGATCAATGTGAGTGGGTTGCGCTTCAGAATGATGAGAAGTTAACCAAGAATTATGTGAATCTTCAATATATTTATAAACTTCAGTAAAGACGTTCGTTGTAAGACATCTTGTTTGAACCTACATATATATTATGATCTAAAAAAAGGACTATCGTACTTCAATACGGGAACTTAAAATTTTCCAGGCATCACGGAACTGGTTATATCGCTTGTTAGGCACATCTTCAGGGCCTTTGAATAAACAGCTTTGTTAAAAACAATGTCAATATATCGAATACCTTTCCCACTTCCATGGTAAACAGTGAAATCCTATTTAGAAAGAGTAAAATCGCGTTACAAACAACTTACCGCCATGACTAATTTTGCCGCGCTTGAGAAGCAATTTCAGTGACCGATAGTTCACTGAATAGGGAACTTAAGGACTGATTTATTCCATATAAATAATGATTGAAAATAAGCCATCACTGATGAGGAAAACCTATTCTGTGGTAATAACAACAAATATTAACCTGTGATACATAGCTTAGCAGATGGTTTGATGAAGGAGTGGATTTTGCCATGCAGTAAATTTCCAGCATTAACTCCAAGAAATGGGCCTATCCACCCTCTGTAAGGGTACAGTCACACAAATTTGGCTTTAATGACCAACGAACTCAACTATCCAACAGATATAACTTAAGTAACCCAGTTCTGGCCTACATACTGGAGTACTTCATGTATTCAGCATCAACATCTTTTTGACGAACTTGATTAAACCTTATGATTTCTTGACTCTCACTTCTTGTTGTTTCAGAATGGCTCTAAATCTTCGAATGATTAAATTTCAATCTATCTGCTCAACTGCTGCAGTCCTGCTGAACTCAATGACACAGAAGTTCGTTGATTTATTTAATGGGAATAAATAATTTGTACTAAGGTAGTAATACTACTGAGATTTATGATTTTCGTTTGGCCAGAAAGCCATAGACTCATATTACCAAACACTTTGGAGAAAGATTTGCTAACCAAATTCAAGGGATATCTGGAGAATGATTCATCTCAACAAATGGAAACTGGAGCTAAATGATTGGGTATAGGACAATTAATACTGTGAAATTATTATTATTGTTGTTCCCTTGGGTTCCTAGTGGAACATAAGGCTTCAACTGCACGCCTCCACAGTGGAAGCTTAAACATAAATAACAGAAATAAAATTAAAGAACAGAATGGGGTTCGTGGGGATAGGGGTTTTGGTAAAATTTGTGATCAAACAACAAAGTATATAAAGACAAGTGTGGTATTCGTAGTAGGAGCACAGTCTCCACTGGGTAGTCCACTGGCCATTTACATGCACGCATGCCTGTAGTTTTTGAGTAAATGGCTATACTTCTACGGTTTATCGGGATGTCTACCTTAGTTACCGATTTTGTGTCAAGTTCACCAGGTTTTATGGTTCTGGCCAGGATGCCCAGAGGTGTAAGTTCACAGACCTGCGATTTCATGTCACTAATCCGCGTTGATAGTTTAGATATACTGCCCATATGTTCGAAAAGTCATCCAGTAAATAATACTGTTTCATTGCGTGATATATCTAATAAACAAACTAATATGGAACATATTTTTGCTAGACGCCATTTGTCGCCAACACAGATTTCGTTTATTTGTCATTAACGGGTTTTAAAACAGGCTGCGAGAGCTGCAGCTGCTGAAACAGAAAATAGTCTCGTTTCAACAGTTCACTGGTAACAGCATTACACAGATACTGCATATTGGAAGATGGATGTATTGAGAGGTGGTGTCACTGTACATAACTATGAAACAGTCCTAATAAAGCGGAAATATGACGTTGTTTGTGTTAAGGAAGATAACTTTTGGTTGATTGTATTATACGATACCACTTTCTGGAAAGATTTTGTCGGGAGAAAACTGGGTAGTTAATACTCCATTGGTGAAACGATGCCTGGAAAGGATATAACTCACTGTCATCCCTGGGATGTATTCATCACAGAGTAAACCATATCATACTATTACAGGACCCACTCCAAAATCATCGAAAGATTTTGAGAAAGGTTGAAGAAGAGAATCAGGGCCGTAGGGCCTCTAAATACGGTATAAGTAACTGAGGAACTCGAAAGGATAGGACAAGTAACCAGGTAAAAACTATATCTTCTTTATGATTCGTAGGTTTGTAGGGGATCGAAGTAGTTCGTCAGCTCAAATAGATAAATAAATAAATTTATTCTCATAGTACAGTACATGAGGGACGCCAGTTTACAGGCATCATCAAATTGTTACAGAAATAGAACCATATAATTCAATCACAATTTACAGGCAGTAGCAAGATATGCCTTACATGTTCGCTGGAGATTATTTTTTATTTTTTTATAAAAAAATAATAAAAACAAAAAAACCAGGTCTTTGGTGGATGGATTATAAGTGCCTGGGAAAAAAATAAAGCTTGAAGTCAATTTTCATACATAACTTTGTTGTGTGCAGAATCCTTGAATTATAGTTCATTGATGTGTTGTTTTGAAATCAGTGATGTGTTTATCTCATTTGATCTGCAATGTCATTGTTGGGAGTAAATATATAAACTTTAGACGCATTAATTAATGGATTTCTACTGCTCGTGGGTATTTTCTTAGCGTGAGGAAGGTTTATGAATTCCAGGTGTTCCGACAGGAGTTGAGAATATTAACTGCTCAGCAACATTATGGATATAAGTTCATCACATTATCTAAGGAAAGGTGGGTTGCAGTTGGTGAGGGATATATGGTGCCCAACGAGTGTACATCTGTCCATGTGATGTTGTGGTGAGTTATACCTTTTTCATGTTGTCGGTTTATGTCCATTTTATTCCACTTATTGTGTTGGGTAGTAGTTTTACAAACGAGATTTCTTGTCTGTTTGAGGATACGTATCTTAACCGTTAATGTTTTACCTAGAATTATAAATATAGGCAAAAAGCAACAGGTGTAGTATTTAAGCTTATACATTAAATGGACCTATAATTTTGGAGGCTCTCAGATAGGAACTAGAACTACTATCGTTTGCAAATTCTTGTAGTTTGTCATTAAGCACCTTTTTGAAGGAGGCCAATGTACTTGCTTGACGCATTTCCATTGATAGTTTATTCCATATCTGTGCATACCTAATCAAGTAAAACTTTTGCCTGGTGGCTGTTTTACATTGTTCGATAGCTACTGTACCCTTAGTGTGACTTAGTTTGTAGCCACTGTCATCTGAAAGTCGGGTGCCATTAGTAGAGGTAAAATATAAGTGGCTTAGAAGCTTATAGTAAAGTGTTAAGTTTAGTCTCAGGCGTCTTAGCCATAGTGTTTCTAGTCCTAGGGTATCACATCTAGTAGAGTAGTTCGCACAATTTTCGGTTCCGAGTATTTTTAACGTGAAGTACCTCTGAACGTCAGGCGTTTCACCTTCAACGACCAATTTGTTTATCCATGCGGACTGAAACACACAGTGGTCAATATAATAATCAAGGGACAAGAGCTAGGCAGTTTCGTCGTGGTGTGATTATCTACATGCCCACTCTTTTTAAACCATCGCCAACAAGTACACCTTCCAACAGCCATATGTGTTGTATTCTGCTTTCGCTAGTTAAAGTGGTGTTAAGAGCAGCCTGGCCACCAGAATAAATGGGTCAGGTCAGAGACTTAGTAGGTGGTGGGGCTAGAGCTTAGATCTATCGGGATCGGTAGACACACATTAATCGTTCCATCTGGTCGAAGCCAACCGGAAACGAGTTCGAAATTTTTTATTTTTTTATTTTCAATTTTTGATTACAGCTTGATGCCACACCCTATTTTCAGTACAAGTATGGAATTTTCAGCACTGATATCGGTAGCCCAAATTTTGCAGGCCGGCCATACATATCGGGTGTGCGTTGGCAGGGGACCGAACCCCGGACCATGTGCATGGTAGGCGAGAGTCCTAACCTCTGTGCCACCGACGCACATCATCTAAGAAGCCTAACTGACTGTCTTCGTCGAGACCACCAAACAACGAATGCCGGCCCATTTGTACGACTAGGTTTTCCCCTCTTCAATTGCTTTGTGCTGTGCCTGCGAAAATATTGATTCACAAACGCCATAAGTCTTCTACAATATTGTGGGCGGTCTGTCGGTAATTTGAATAATCGTCTTGACAGAGAGGTAGGCTTCTAAACTGGTAAGCCTGTTTCACTCATATTTGCCTTCTTTTTTGTTAGAGATCATAGAAGTCTATGTATTTTTCGTTTTTGGCTGTTTTTCGGAATTTTTTCTCTGGTACGTATTATTTAGTTCACCCTCTTTTATTTGATACATCCCATTCGCCAAACGTGGAAACTGACTTTAAAAACGCTAATTCTGCTCAGGTGGATGTTTTGGTCACTGCCAATGTTAGGTTACCTGAATTAGATTGACATGACCCGGAACCATGGTTTGATCAACTACAGCAATGCTTTGGCCGGTAAAGCATAAAATCCGAAGCCACTAGGTATAAGGGTGTGTGTTCTCAGTTACCTTATGAGATCAGCAAGGGGGTGTGGGACGTTACACTTCACCCCCCTCCGAAAGAGCTGCCATACTGAGTGCTTAGGTGTGAGGTGATAAAACACCTCTGCGTGTCAGAAAAAGAGCATTGCTTTGAGAGCAGAACGTGTGAGAAAGGTTCCCATCTCAGTCCTTGCGCATTCGCAGCAGCTTGCAGGGAACATTGCGACGGGAGAGGCTGTACTGAGGTAAATTTGGATGTAAGCCCTGCAACAGGCACTAGATGCACAAGACCCTAACTCCTTTCTTGAACAGTTACCACGCATCATTGATCGGATGTTGGGGAGGAGATGACTTACACAAGGGCAGGTGAACAACATGAGTATGAGTGAAGACACAATAATCTCAGAACTAGTGGCCAGCGTTTGATCACTAACAGAAAAACTGGCAGAAATACAGCTGACACATGTCGAACGAGGCAGATCACAAAGTAGAACACGTGTCGAGTCAAAGAGTAGGCCCAAGCAAACTAGATCGATAGGCCAACTCTGTTGGTATCACTGAAGGTTCGACATGGTTGACAGTATTCACACAAGGATGCGCTTCACCTAAATTCTCCCACAGGCAACAGGGAAACGAGTATCCCCATCTCAGGCGGAGACTAATAGGAGGGGTTTACAGGAAAGTCTCCTGTTCTACGTCACGGATAAAAATTCCAGCAGAAACCTCTCACTTTGTACAGGGGCTGTGCTCAGCATCACACCAAAAACGAAGGCCTAACCGGGAAGATCAAAGTCCCCAGCCACGTTGCAGGCCACTAATAAAACCCAGATCGCAGCATTTGAGGGGAAAACATTGATCCTTCAACTCAGGTTTAGGCGA